CATAATAATGGTGTGGAGAGGATGGCTAAAGGGGGAGAAGGGAGGCCATCAAAAAAAAAAAAAAGAAAGAAAGCTGTTTTCTGATGTGATAACTACATAATGACGCCACTGCTTTCAACTTTATATTTTTGCATCTGTTTATTAATGCAATTTTCCAATATTTTGGTCTTCATCACCTGACATTCACTCATATATCTATGGAAAAACCAATAAGCTGCATGATGTCAAAAATGGAATTCAGATCTCAGATCTGTAGGCCAGCACATGTTCTTCAGTCAGCATCTTTAACTCACTATCAGAGAGTACTTTTGTAATCCTGCAAATATTAACTAGGTCAGCTCTGATTTTATTTTCATTGTTTATCATTCCTGTTATTTAATCTTCGGAACACAGTTAAAGTCGAAACATGATATATAACACAACTATAACAAACAACTGGCTGCTGATGGATATTAGTATAAACGTATATTAAGAAGTTCATATTTTAGCATTGGGTTCAAATTCATAAAAACAACCCACTTTTTTGAGTCATTTGATAAATTATTTTGCAGTTATTTGAACTCCATACAAAATGATCTGTGCGTTTTGTATTGTGGACTCAGCCCCACAGATACACAATTGATATATTGACTTCATGTGAGTGGCTGCACTCAGACATGGTGTGAGGCTGCCTAATTAGAGAAATGCCGGCATGTATTAGTCACCTGACTTGGATTTAAAAGGGAGAACATGCAAACTCCACCCAGAAAGTCCCCCCGACCGGTAGATGATCCTGTGACCTTCTTGCTGAGAGGCAACAGTCTGAACTACCATGTCGTCCAGATGAACCCATGTGACATCCGCACAAAGCAATCTAAAACACATGAAACTACTATTCAACAATGCGCTTTGTCCCGTATTCACACTCTGCTGTATTTGTGACACATGTGGACAACACAAAATATGACTGAATAGATTAAATAAAAGGCACCGCTAGTTGCTTTCAAGGTTACAGGAAAGCGGGTGATGTGGTTTACCTGCTCTCAGCCAGGGAGTACGCTCGTGAAATATATGTTGCCGCTGTGGATCAGGCACAAGACTTTATCATATTGTCCTTTGTGAGTCCAATGTCACCCAGTAGAGGAGAGAGACGGCAGGGATATATCAGAGCGCACCGGGGTCTGACACCGCATCCTCTTGGGAGAGACATGACAGCCTTCTCAGGAAACCTCTGACCAAAGGAGTCTGAATGATAAACTTATAATGGAAATGGAAATGCTGGTAGAAAGAGAGACGCATCTCTGCGGTGCAGCTGCAGTCAGGAAGATGATTTATCTTTGACCCCTGCTGGCACCTGGTCAACTGTACAAACCGCCTCATGGATATTTGTTCCTTTGTGTGCAAAGGAAACAATTGTTTAGGATCATTTTGTCAGCTCAGCTTAGCAGCTGGAAAAAAGATGTTTTTTTCCAGTCTGCAGACATGCTTATAGTCCTATAACTGGGGCATTTGCAGGATGTGCATCAAGAATTTTAAAATACATCTTAGATCAGTGGACCTGTCTGTGTGACCTGCTGTCCTCACAAACTGAGTGACTGTGCAAGGAGAGTAGTGAGTGAGACCACYGTGACACCTGTGACCTCGCTGTAGTAAGTACAAACTTTAGCAGATTAGATAGAAGAAACCTAAAACACAGCTTTTTTCCAGGTTCTTCACCAGTCTGATCTTTACATCAGAAGAGTAGAAAAGAGAAAGACACAGTTGAAGCAAAGTCAAATTAAATCTTGATTAAAGTCTCTAATAATAAACCTTAGTCAACATTTAATTTTTCTTCAATAGTGTCTTTCTCTTTGCCACTCTGCCATAAAGCTTAGACTGGAGAAGAATTTGGGCACTGGTTAAGTTTCCAGTCTCTCCCATCTCACCTGCTGAAGCTTATGGCTTATTTAGAGTTCTCACAGCCATCTTGGTGGTATGTTTGAGCGATATTGGCAAAAAAATTAATCACCATTATTTATGGCATTTTGCCAATGGCTATTAATATGACGATTAAGAGATGACAAATGCACTTGCATGTTGACTCTAAACCAGTTACCTTTTGTTCTATAATTACACTTACAAATCACCAAACATCTTCATGCTCTTACTTTGCCACCCATAACCTTCAGACTAACTGAGGACATTGTGGAATCTCAGCTAAGTTAATTTGTTTCCCACCATTTCCTGTAGGAGAGTTTGCCTCAGTCCACATCGTCTGGCTTTTATTGTACTCTGGTTAGATGATTGAACAAGTTCCTGTTGTCTTCACTTTTGTGCACCTTGCAAATGGCCCAGATTTGCTTAAAGCCATACGTATGAAGCCAAATCAGTTCCATACAACAAAAAGTTCACCTTGTCTAGAAGCAAACGGCTCTGCCTTCTTGCAGGTTGATAGTGGGAGGGAGTTGCAAACAAAAATATATCAGGATCATACAACACTAATCGCAGTAATCACAAAGTGGCAAATAGTAATCGATGATAGCTTTTCTGATGATTATTGACACAATGTGATTTTGCTCAAGCCTACTTGGTGGTCTCTCTCACTGTTCTTCTTCTTGCACAGTCAGTTTGTGAGGGCAACCTGCTCTTGATAGACTAACACATGTCTCAATATCCTTCCATTTCTTGATGATGGATTTAACAGAACTTCTGGGGATGTTTAGGGTCTTGGAAATGTTTTTGTATTCATCCCCCAGCTTGTAATTTTCAATAGTCTTTTCTCAGAGTTGAATTAAGACACTCTCGGTTATGGGGGTGAATATTTATGCAATCACATATTTTGCAGTACATATTTTTGTTTGATTGGTATCAGCCTGTAGAAATATGATTTCACTTTTTTCAATGTTTTTGTTAAAAATGGCAGTTTATCTGGGGCATTTTGATAGCAATATAAACATAAAACATGTAAAGCAGTGAATACTTTTGTTGGTACAGTACAGCCAATCATTATTTCCAAAAATATTTCATAAGGTCTGTCCAATGGTTCATGATATATTTGCTGACAGATRAACAGAGTTGACACCAAATATTTGGTGGCAAAATTTTACACAAAAATCTTATCCGATTTGCTACTACCACTCCAGACTTTAAATCAGTATCTGTAAAAATGGCTGAGGTGTAGTCAACTTTGGGTTAATACGTTGACTCCAAATGTTAATACTTTGCAGTGATTACTTTCTGAAAGTTTCAATACCCCCCCCCCCCACCCCCCAGTGGTTTGTGAGATAATTTGGGGAGAGGTACACACATAAGCAGGGCGAATAATTATCTCTGTTATTGTAATACAATGTTTTGTTCTAGCATTGCTTTCCCTTCCTGTCAGGATTTAATTCTCATCCACTAAAAAAAAATCAATTCAACACTGACGGAAACGTGTCCTTGGAGAAAGTCATGTTTGTCAATCTTTTTTTTTTCTATGCTGGTTTCAGTTATCGCCAACCTTCTTCTCATTTCCCTGAAAATCAGCTACATTTTCAGTTTTCATTAGCAACCTAGAGATAGCAGTTTGAATGATGCCCACTTTCTTGTCTGCAGAGTTTGGGTAAGATCAATCTATATTCAAACAACTTGTCTTTATGGCAGAAAGGTAGAAAGACATTTTCATTATGGAATGCTGTAGAATGACTGGTGGCACAATGTCAGTCTTTCAGGCAAGGTTATAAATGAAGGAAAGGTTGACGGCATATAAAAGACTGTTCAATTGCTGATTGATCACTGCGTGTAGAGTTATACATTATCAGGGGAAAGTATAATGAGTTGCTAGGCCCCTTCTTGTGGAAACATGCATGTAAGTTTTCCATCACCTACTGGGATGTTCTTTTGCCCTTGTTTTTAAATGTATGAACTTATGCTCACCAAAGACAGTTTGGACTTTCTCAGCAGTTGATGTTCACATGTTCACTGCCAAAGAGAATTTTTATTTTGAAGATGTTTGTTTACAGCTGGAAATAGAAAAATGAAGATGCAGGACATAATCAAAATGTTCACTGTAAAAATCAAAATTTTATTCACTACATGCCAGGAATAGTAGCTCAGGCTCTTTCGGGACCATTTAGCCATTTATCAGCACACAGTTCAAAAGCCTGCCTCTCTGATGGTATGGGGTAGTGTTTCTGCCTATGGAATGAACAGCTGACGCATCTGGAAAGGCACCATCAATGCAAAAACAAATATGCAGGTTTTAGAACAATATATGTTCTTTTCAGGGAAGGCCTTTCAAATTTCAGTGAAACAATGAGAACCACCTTTTATTACAACAGCAAGACTTCATAGTAGAAACAAATTGTGCTTTCTCAACATAACGAGACAAATAACTTGTGATCTCGACATAACGCCATGAAAATCTGTTTTCTAAGCATGACCTGTTTTTGCTTCAGAAATTCCTGTTCTCTAAATCTGTTACTATTTTACTCTGAAGAGAATGATGTAACAAAGTACTGTACTTTACAATTCTACATTGACACTGAAAAGCTGATTCATAATGTACTCTATTAATTGCTCATAACATTTGAAGAGAAACAGTGTTAGACATTTTTAATTGCTGAACCTATTCAGCAGGTCGTTTTTTCAAACATTAGAAGATGACACACCATGTCTTCTTCTAAATGGCTCAGTGTTGCCCTTTTTGTACACATGTATCACCATATAACCCAACTTGTAAATGATGAGCCAATTTTCTTTTCTTTTAATTCACAAGCTGTACAGTGTTCGGTTGATCCAGTCATTATTAAAGGTTGTCTTTAAAATGACAAAATTTGACAAGTTGCTTTGTATTTGATAATAAATTAACTGTAATTCAAACTGTTTATACTTTATGATTTTCATTATTTCCACTTTTCATTTGTAAATTAATGACTTTACTCTTTATTTTCCCAGGACCTGTGAGCAGTGTGTTGGTCAGTCGATTTGGAAGTCGACCAATCGTCATGATAGGTGGACTGATGTGTGGGGTTTCGATGGTAACCGCATCTTTTGGGAGCTCCATCGTCTATCTCTATTTAAGCATTGGCATCATTGGAGGTATAGCACAGTTTAAAGTCTTCTTTTTTATTGTTGTAGTTTGCTTTTAGAAACATTAGTGCCTAAAAAGTTAAACCACAATATTATTGCATGCAGTTTTACTTTGGGAGTTTTTCAGTTCCACACAGCCAACAACCAAAACTAGTTTTCATTTTACTCACTGTTCCTTTCAAGGATAAGTTGCAGTGAAGTTGGCAGTTTGTGTCTTTTTGGTTTAGATCTGTCTGATTTGGCCTTCACGCTGTTGGTCTTGGGCTTTGTGCAACTGCCACAACTCCTGGATTGTAGTTAGAGCAGCAAGAGGATCAGCACCAGGACAGTAATTAAGACAGAACTATCTCTGATCCCAAAGAGGATAGTCTTTTATGGCCCTCGTCACATGGGGGCTCTCTGCCCCCCCAAGCGATGCACATTACCCTGCCAAAAGCTCAAATGAAGGATTAATCGGCCCAGCAAGTGGCTAAGCTTTGTGTGGTGCCCATAGGCGTGTGCTGATCCTGCTTTGCACCCGTGTGCCTGGCTTAATGACGTGTAGGTATCTAGCAGTTTTACCTAGCAGGTATGCTGACATACAGTAATAACAGCAAGTATAAAACAATAACCATCTAATACAAAAGCACCCTTTCTGTCTTTACTCAAATTTTTAAATTAAAAAGATGATAGCCAGTATTTACTTGTCGAAAAGTGTATGATGATGTTGCTTCTGTGCCAAATTCTTCTGGTTGGTTCAGATCCTTGCTTGGCAAAGACCTGTACGGTGAGAAATCACAGTCGACTCGACTGAAAAATCAACGGGAAACCTGAGAATAAGCAAATTTCCATCAGAGCCTATTCTGATGAAAAAATAGAAGCTCTTGCTCGGACTTGTTTTAATAGAGAAGAAAAGAGGCAAACCCATTTTCACTAGCTTTCCTATGGATCCAGACAAGAGCAAAAGATTAACTTTGGAAGGAGAAATATAGAACCATAACCACCTAGCTGTAACTTTTCATCTTCCTTAAATTAGGTTGCTATTAAATTAATATGTTCAGCGTACAGAAGCAAGAGAGAGAACGTATTACCCAGGCTCCCTAATTTATTTCTACTTAAATGGACAAATCATATCTGAAATAATTTCAGCATTCTGTAATGAGATTTTAGTTGGCAAAAGTAAAATGAGATGAAACCTAAATGAGCGCTTAGCAGAATCAGTTGTAATTTAATTTAGTTAGTACCCTCTGGAGTTTAGGTTCTTCAGTTTTTCTTTGGAGGGATTTAAAACGTGACATATTTTTCTCTCCCCAATCTTTCTGCACACAGGTTGTGGACTCTGCTTTAACCTGAACGCATCTCTCACCATCATCAGTAAATATTTCCTCGTCAAGCGACCATTGGCCAATGGACTTGCTATGGCTGGGAGTCCAGTGTTCCTCGGCGTCCTGGCCCCTGTCAACCAATTTCTTTTGGACCAGTTTGGCTGGAGAGGAAGTTTTCTCATCCTAGGGGGTGTGATGCTTAATTGTTGTGTTGCTGGTGCCTTGATGAGACCCATAACTCCTCTTCGTAAACCATCCTCTGGTGCACTAATGAATGGAGTGGAGAAAGGCAACACTAAGCTAAAAGGAAGGCGTATGAAGAAATCTATGAAGTTTGTGGATTTGACCTTTTTTAAGAATAGAGGCTTTGTCATTTACCTCATAGGAAATGTGATGTACATTTTTGGCGCCTATGCACCCATAGTGTTCCTGTCAGCTTATGCAATCAGCCAAGGTGTGGAGGAGTATGCTGCAGCCTATCTGCTGTCCATCATGGGCTTTGTGGACATGTTCATTCGCCCTTGCACCGGTTTGTTAGCCAACAGCAAATTGGTCAGGCCAAGAGTCCAGTACCTCTTCAGCTTCGCCATAGTTTTCAACGGTRCTTGCCATTTACTGTGTCCCCTGATGAAGAGCTACCCCTTGCTGGTGGTCTATGCTGTACTCTTTGGTGTGGGCTTTGGAATGGTTTTCGCCCTAATCTTTGAATGCCTCATGGACCTGATGGGAAACCGGCACTTCCCCAGTGCTGTTGGACTGGTGACCATTATAGAGTGCTTCCCCATGCTTTTGGGACCACCTGCTGCCGGTAACATACTCCAAACATGAGCCACACACTCACAAACACAACAAACATGGAGAGACGTACAAAATAAAGTAGTGATGTCCTGATACTAGGGCTGCAACTAACGATTATTTTAATAATCGATTAATCTGTTGATTATTTTTTCGATTAATCGATTTATCGGCCAAATCATTAAAACGTTTAATTACATGAATATGAGTAGATATAAATTAATTTCATTCCTGTATAAATTAGGGATGCAAGTTATTGATTAATGAATTAATCTGAAGTTGATTTATCTTATAGATTGACTAACAATTAATTGATAAGCAGCCATTTTCTTAAAAACCGGAGTTTTTTATTGAATCAAGAGGCTCTTTTCATAAAATGAAGGATTTTTTAAATAATCTCCTGAATTAAAAAACAGAAGCACATCATAAATATTTTAACAATTTATTTTGCCAGCTGTATTAAATNGTTGATTCTGTCTGACTAAAACATTGTTCGACTCAGTAAACGGTTCTAAAGCAGCCCCCCTCCTCCCCTCTTCCCAACTGAGGCAGACCAGAGGCACATTTAACATTAATAATTTTTCTCTAATTCTTTACTTTTTGCTTCCTTGTTATTGATTCTGTCTGACTAAAACATTGTTTGACCCAGTAAACCGTTCTGAAGCGGCATGCATACTCCGTTTGAGAAAAACTGTTATCGGGACACCCATAAAATAAAACATCTAGTAAATTAGCACCTTCTGAAGTTGGGTTCTGTGGAAGGGTTTTGAACATTTTATCGCTCTTTGTTGCAGATAGTTCTTTGAACAGAGTCAGTTTGCAGAAACTGAGTTCAATTCTGACCAAAATGTTGAGCTAAATGGTATCTCACCCAAGCCTAGCCTAAAGTGAAATATTTTAAAGGTGGTTGCTGCAGATACTGTTTTAACTCTTACATCTCTGTTAGATACACTACACTAAAATTTACATACATTTCTGTTTTTCTTTGCAAGCACAAATAAAAGCAGCAGGAGATACGTATTTGTAGCACTTTGGCTAAAGTCTAGTTAACTTSCAGCTTGCAGATCATAATATTTCTGTTGGTGTAACCATGCAAGGCAATTTTCACTGCAATTTAAAAGTTTTAATGACCGTGTTTGCATGAACAGCTAAAGAAAGAAGTTGTTTAAAAACCTCAGCAATCCCTTTTGTTCTTGAGCCCCTTCAGACTAGCTGTTAGCTTGTCCATTCGTTTTGCCTTAAACGCTTATTTTAAACAAATGAGTCTGTTCAAAGAGCTATCTCTAAAAGATAAGACAAATGTCCATAACCTTCCACTTCAAAAGGTCATAACTGTCCCATTAATTTGAATGATTTTCTTATCTTTATGTTGACGCTGATAAATCCAACACAGACAATTTTATCAAATGTACAACACAAGATGGAACATCTTTTCAATTACACAATCCCTTCATTTCAGATAAATATTACAACATTGTAGACCAAAGAGCAGATCAATAATGTAAACTCTGAAACTCGAGTCTGATCCAGAGCTTCAGCAACATGTTACTGTAAATATTTATTCGTAAAGTGTTGGTTTGGTTTGCATGAAATTGGTTATTTATTCTGACTTCCTGCTGAAAAAGTGATGTGTTCTTGTGATCTTTTGAGGCATATTGGTAGAATTTTGTCTCTATACAAGACTAGACGATTAGAAAGGCAAATTCCAAAGTAGYCAGAGTAATGTTTCATTTATAAAAGGCACCATGAACATGAAGCAGAACTGAAATCAGGAAATCATTCACTACAGTTCGAWGACATCTTAGCTTCCTTAGAACATATAAAAATAAATTGTAAAAGTAAAGTGTTTGAATTGACTATGATTTCAGTCTTGAGTTCCACAGGTGAAAAAAACACTTTGCGGCCCTTCTGGGTTTTTCTACATTAACAGATACTTTAAAAAGCATAAATAGTTTGCACTTTAGAAGGGTTCACAAAAAGACTTAACTACTAGCAACTGCCTTAATTATTGATGAACGGCAGAATTAGTCGTCAATTCAAACGTTCTCTAACCATTATTTCCTGTCTATTATGTGAAAGTGAGCACATAGACACATAGACACAAAATATATAGAATGGTTAATTCATGAGTTAATAAACATAAATAAACAATAAGTATGTTGGTTTAACCTGTATGGGTGAAGCATTAATACATGTTAATTAATAGCTTATYAAGTATGAATCATCCTTAATTMTTGATATTTTCAAGRTTAATTAACAATTAATGAGGTGTARTTCTTATAAAGTGCTGCCAAAATCCTTTTAAAGAAAGTGCCATCAGAGATTCAACTCAACAATCCAGCAAACTCAAAGGCTTTCTACATTATGTCCCTTTAATGCTCTGCTTTAGTTGAAGTCCTTACTTGTTTATTTAAAAATATTCTTTAAAAACATTCAGAGACAGAACAAAGAATGCTAACCTTTGCACCAATCTTTAACTAAACCTTAACATTGATTTAAGCAGCTTTTTAGTGTTCTGAATAAATCATCTCAGCTTTTCATACCATTTCACTGATAAACATTTTTTTTTGTCTTTAGTATGACTTTTAATGAAGTGAAAACTTAAAATTTCCCCCTCAGTGCGACCTTTTTCTGAGGGGCTCATTAAATGGGGGTAAATAAGTGCCTCCTTGCATGCCTAACATTTTCCTCCAGAGGGCACAATCGTTATTTATCCCATATCAGCTTGTTACTGCTCCTCCACACCTTCAGGTCAAGCCAATTAGGAGGAAGTGAGGTAAGTGAGCGTAATTAGCCTTTTGCTTTGGGTGTTTAATGACGCTCAGTTCAAACTCTCGTCATTAAAGTCTTGTACCTGGGCCATAATTAGGCTGCGAATGCATTCAAARAGAGGTGACTGTGCCAGATGGACGTAATTATTGCTCAGCCAATCTTAGTCTGTCTTAATGAGCATAGTGGTCATTTGAGTGCAGACACCAGATGAGCGCGATCAATCAGATAATACATCGAGAAGCTTGAGATGATAATGTCCCATAGAGCCGATCATTATGTAATGACCTTAAATAAACATTTTTGAAGATTTTAAATGTATTGTTCTCATGAAAATGTTTTGAAAAGCAGATTAAGTAAAAGCCTGAAAAAGATTTAGCTGGTTTTGGCTGTTCTCAGATTAAAAAAAAAAAGGCAATAAAAATTGTTGCTGATAAACTTGAATGTCTTAAAAACTAGAAATTATTTGGTTTTATTTGTGGCAGTGACCAAAGGGCAGTCCCACTCAGTATAGGTGTTTGGGTAAAGTTTGCTTAAGCCTGTGAGAACCTGGAGGCTTAAATCTGATCTAAACCACATTTGTCATTTTTTTGCAGACTTTGGGCTTGATATTTATGGCTCTGAAAATGGGCTTCACTTCTGATTCGTTTTGGTAGCAGCCATCCAAATTGCCTTTCCAGCAAAAGCAGGAGAGCCAGGAAGGGTGCAATGGCTCTCTGTCAACTCTTAAGTGGCTCTTCTCAAATTGGCCCGTGTTTGCTCCTACTCTCTTTCACACACATATAGAGGAAGCCACATCAGAGCTCACCTTCAAAGCTGTAAAGCGATCTAATCTTACGTTTATTTGGGCTTTAATCTTCTCTTTGCATCTTTCTTGCCCCAGGGTTTCTGGTGGATGTCTTTGGTGACTACAAATACCTGTTCTTCATGTGTGGAGGAGTGATCGTGACCGGTGGGCTCTTTCTCTTCATATTGAACATGTACAACTACCACTTGCTAGATAAAGAGAGTTTGGAAAAAGACAGGAAGCAGAACCAAATCAGTTCGGAGAACCAGGATGAGGTGAACAGCTCCGAGGAGCAGAGGGAGCTGAACGAGCCCGTGGCGATAGAGATGAACACGGCCAGGCAAGAGCCTGAACTGGAACATGTACAAGAAACRAATTGATCAAAACTACGGACTGATTTTAATGACTTACTAAAATACTTGCCCACGCCTCCATTAACTTCTTACTGTAGAGGTGGAGTGCAGGCAAACAGACAAAACCTTTAGTCCTAACTACAAATTGTTAGGTACATTTACATTTGGGATTTTTAAAATGTGTTTTTTCTTTACTTTGATAATGTTTGATGGGACATTGGTGGAAGGTGGTCAGATATWAAAGTTTAGACCAAAGCACGCGACTCCAAATTCGATACAATATCCAGACTGCAATACTATCAGTAGTAAAGTAAGTAAAGTAAAGTTTTATTTATATAGYGCCTTTCACAGAAATAAATTCACAAGGTGCTGTACATTCAGGTAAGGGGRGAGGGGGCAGTTAMGAAACACCCATTCAAGAAGACATACAAGACAAACATGGGGGAACATGTGAAACGTGTCATGCAGCAAACACAGTTGCGCTACGTTTATGTGCTAGCTTCARGGTAAACAATGGGTTCAAACAGTTATAGTTTCAAAAGCACTACAAGTTTTTATGAAAGCATTCTTTAATTTAAATGCTTTTAATTACATGTCAGAGTCAGGGATATAGAGAATCCTCCCACTTCCCATACGGTTCCTGCAAGCTGTCAGTCAGCTGTGTATGATGGCAGAAGGAGGGAAAAYTCCTTAAATGTTACACCTGGTTTTAATTAGGTGAGAAAATAGATCAAGTAAAATGCAATTGTTTAGGTATCAAAAAACAGACAACATCCCCTATTATTTCTTTCAAAGTATCCGTGTTTTGACACAAACATTGCAAATAATTACCTAGTTTAAGTTAATTACCTAGCAAGTTAGGTTCTCAGTTTTAGGTCACAAAAACCAGGATGACAAAAATAATTAATGTTCAACACAATAGGTATTTATTGTTATAAATAAATATTGGTATTTTCATCAAATTCAGCTGTATAATTCTGTATTTTTGTCCTGATCTTCTGTTATTATTTTAAAACAACCCTAGTTGACCAATGATTGTAATGAAAGCAAAACTATCAATACATTCATGGATGTATGTATATTCATACAACATGGGAGTAACCATGTTAAYAATCAGAATAACCAAAAATAATTATTAAAGATTAAATTATGAATCACTTTAAATACATTTTATTTGTTTGTTTTTATTATGTGACATTGTGGTGTTTTTGCCTAACGTTATCAGGAACCTGTTAAAATCTTCAATCTGTCTGGTTCTGTACATATTTAAAGATTAAACTGCTGCACATGGGGTTTTTCCAATATGTGCTGCTTTATTATTTTCTTTATGTAGGTAAAAAAAATGTTTATCAACAAAAACAAAATCCAAATCAGTATTTTAACCACAGTTCACATTATTATCTGCCTGTGAGCAGTTAGAGTATTGACCAGGAGCATCTGACTTTGTTCTTGGTGTCTGGTGTTTGAACATTTTAGYTCTCTGGAATGTGGGGTTTTGTTTTAAAGTTTTTGTAACTAATGTTGGGATTTATTAAGTGTATCACTGCAGCATTCATTAGAGTGTCAGGAAAAATGTTATTATAAGTAAGTAAGTAAAGTTTATTTATACAGCACCTTTCTTAGACATAAAATCACAAAGCACTTCACATAAAATAAAACAAAAACAAATTAAATTAGTAAATTAAAACATCACAGCATTACATTCATACGAGAGTACAAGTAGTAAAAAAAAACTTAATTAATTGATGCATTCCACACAAAAGTGGACCAACTGATCCGTTTACACCACTTTATCCACCAGTCATGAAGTCGGACCTTTGTTTTGTTTGTTATTGTATCAGTAATGACTGTGAAAGGCTGTTGTTTTTTTCATTGGTGCRGCAAAATTACAGATGATCCTAAGAACCTTTTAGAGTAAATATTTGCAACAGAACGTTTACTGGAATGTGTTCATAAATGCATGTCTCGCTTTCCTTTCTGTGACTTCTTACTYGTCCTAAATCAACCCAATCTTTATTGTGAAAACATTCATTCTTCTTACATGGATGCGAAGAACCTCCGGGGAACAGTTGTGGGATCTTTTGATTTTTCTGTGTTTTTATTGTGGAATACCAGCAGGTCTTTATTTAGCTCATGCAACACTTTTGTAGCGAGTTTTTCTTACAAGAATTTATTGTGACAAAACCGATTACTTAATTGTGATGCTGAATTCTTTCGTTTTGATTTTTTTTCAAACTTTTGTCATTATTTAAAACAAATTGGACTGTAATAGTGAAATGTAGAGACTGTTCCTCAGTGATGTAATCATTCTGTGGTGACATTTAGCCCTGACATTTTTTATTTGGGTGAGAACTGATTTAAATTCTGTTAATTGTGCTCATGTGAGTGTTTACCTCAGACTCAGTGACAATAGAAATAGAAATAATCTTAATAATGGCAGCTCAGTAATTATTCTTGCACAATTTATGATTTCCAGAGACATGTTTTACACATATGTGTTGAGATTGTTTTGTGTAATAAAAACAGTCTTAAGTTGTGAATTTGTGATGTAATATTTGGTATGTTCCTCTACAAATTACATAATTCATTTCCAGTGTAGACAATTATTCATATAAATGTGCAGCTACTTTTCTATATCTGTGGTCTTCAGGACATATAAAAGCGTGCTCTCTCTTTTTAATGCAGCGAGCTAAATGACATCAAATCAACATCCAGCGTGTAAAGCTTTTCAGCGTCGTCGTCTCCACTCTGAGTTTTCGCGACAATTAGAAGACTGGGGAACAAGTTTGGAAATGTCAGCAGCTTAAGGGTGCGGGCGCCTAATGAAGCGAGGCCCCTGATGTTCTGGGCTACTGCTCCAAGCTGCATGCAGCCTCGTACACATCAGCAAATTATTGGGCCAATAAATTAGAACCTCAGAGACAAATACACACATATAGCGCCCCCACCACTCCTATCTCCTGTCCCTTTGTTGAGTGCTGTACAAGGTCTTTGGACATCACAAGGTGGAAAGGTTCCCCAGAGGCACTGTGGCCGGGAATCTGTTTGTCATTATTATATTCCTGCTCACCTCCTGCACCCCCACCCCTTCCTGGCCTGCTGACCCTCCGCTACAGACCGCCCTTCTCACTGTGTTTGTTTCTGCAGAGCTCCGTGACTGTTGTCCTCCAAGCTCATAGCAAAAAGGACCGGTGTGTCTCCCGAGGGTCGCGGAGTGGATCAGGTTGAAAAATACAATGGAACAGAAAAATCTACTGTCCTGAATRATATGCCGTGAGGTACTGTTCCATTATGTAGGGCCATCAAAGTTGCAGTTCTTTTATTAGGGTGTGAGTTTGTTAAAAACATGTTTACTGCATGATAGAACAGTTGGGTTAAAAATGTTGCCTCGCAAAAAAAAAAACATCGCAAGTTTGACTTCTGACTGGGAAGCAGAGTTTGTATGTTCTTCATGCATGTGTTTCTGGTTTCCTGTCAAAACAACAACAAGGTTATTTGGTAGCGCTTGTCAATGGATGGTAGAAAAAGTGCCACGTTTTTTCTGTCTTGGCCCTCTCTAATGTCCCTGTGATAGAATGGTGATCTGSCCCGCCCGTGACCACTGGTACCTGTGCCTCTGAACAGAAACAAGTGGGTCAAGAAAATAATTCGAAATCGTATGTATATTCCTTAGCAGAMATTTCTTTTTCCACTGGTGTTATGCTAAACGTATCAGCAAGASAGGTGCTTAGTTGAAAGAAAATGTGGCAACATTGAGGCAAACTTGGTTTACTTAGACTTACTTCCTCCTGCGCCTTTTGACCATTGGGCGGCAAGACGTCTCCATTGGGGCTTTAGACTTAAATAAAGATCACTAGACTGAGCCCCGCCCATACCATCCACTGGTAGTGTCTGTGACAGCATGGAGGAGCAGAAACTGAGACCTAACAGGGCAACAGCTCACAGCCACCATAGGAACTAATAGATAAACAACAAGCTGAACCGGATCTGTTTCACAGATTATCTGTCATGTTTTTACAATTAATAATGATGTTAATTTCATTCAACAAACATGTAAAATGGCAGATATATACCAGAAAAATATTCAATTTATAAGTAACAATGATCTAAACCAGACCTGAAGTCAGCCTGTAACTTAGACTTTAGCTAGTTGAAAAATGATGACTTCAGCTAGTGATAATGTATATTTATTATTTCTTCTTACTGTTGTTATGGCAATATTTATTTAACAAAGACAGAAATACGTGGTCCAAGAATGAAGGTACTCCGTGAGATGATCAGCTGAGTTTTATCGCAACAACAGAAACACAGAGAACAACCTGGCCTGTCTCTGTGCCTCTGTTTCTCTCTGTGTCTGTCTCTCCACACTGCTCACTACTGAACACTGTGTCTCGAGAGGCCTCATATATATATTAACAAACACCATAATGTCATCTTAGCAAGATTTGATGCAAGGTCAATGGAAAACACAAAGATAAACACAAGTGATATCTAAGGATGACTGTTGTTAGCAGATCTTGTTCTGACTTTAATCATTCTGTCTGCAGACGAACAGCATGTCATGAAACTCTCATTAAAGGTTGTCATGAATTACTAGCTTAAATATAAAAGTATTAGTTCCACCACACTGTCATAAAAAATATTTATATTTACCAGTCAACAGTTAGAAAATGTTCTCTGGTTATAGGATGAAACTTGTCTCCACAAGCTAATATCTGTTAACCAACTCAATAAATAACAGTGATTACATCAACTTTATAAGATTATTTTAATTTTAAACTGTTACATTATGTTCTGCTCAGATCACATTGAGCTAAATAAGATCAAATCTGCTGACTTGTGTTGTGAAATGAGATGTTTTCCTGTTTATCTTCTGTTAATAAATCCATAACACAAACAGCTTTTCTGACATTATTTAAAAGATTAGATAGATTATATAAACTGTAAAATATTAATACCAACTGGGTTAATATTATAATTAATAGTTTTTATGATTTCTACATTGTCAGTGTTTTTTTCTGCTCTGTTGTCAACATGTACAGTAATGGGAAATCCAGACTCTTGACTGTTTCGTTAGCTTCACCAGCCGATCACATGGTCACGTGGCTTCTGCGCACTTCAGCTGTTCCATAGAACCTCCTTGATTGGGGTTGATCTCTTGTGACCACTTTGGCCTCATCTGGGCTGATATCTAGGGCCTTGAGGTTTTCATGGAAGGTATGGTTGTGTTGGTATCCATTAGATTGCAGCTTTTGGTAGGCATGTTGCTTTCTGATGGAGGACATGTCCAGCGAATCTTAGTCGGCGCTCTGTTTAGATGATTTAGCAGCAAAATAAAAGAGGTAGCATCAATAAAAAAATAAAATAAAAAATAAAAGAAGTAGCATTCCAGGAAGGAATGAAAATTGCCTGCTGCCTTGTCTTAAATATTTAAACTGAGATCTCCTGTAGAGCTTAAATTATGTGCCAGGGATCAGTCTCAGGTACCACCACAGCTAATCTTAGCTCGATAAATGTAAAAAAAGACCGAGTTGCAGCAATTTTTGTGTTTGCTAAAGTTGACTATCTGTGGCGGCCATCTTGAATCGAGCTGACTCTAATAAAGTCATCCAATAATTACTTTATGGGTGTTAAATTATGTCCAGTGGAGTACTTGGGTAATAGAYAAATAATTGAACACAAACACAAAGCATTAATGAAGGAATGCTTCAGGTTTTTAAAGTTCTTGATAGAACTCAGTATTTTACTCGAAGGAGACAGAAGCTWATTTGATCTCAAACAGAAGTTCTCACCGAAGAGTCAAACTAACAGCTAGACTATTCCAGAGCAAATCAGCARTCTAAAACATCTCACACATCAATGAATAAACATTATTTTTACAGATTTTTACACAGCATCACTTTTGAGTCAGATTAAAGTACAGTTCTGGCTGGTGAAGTTTAATGCCTTTAACTTTAATGACAAAATAAAAAAGACTATGAGACCAAAATAGTTTTCACTGTGAGCAGTTAAAACCTTTTATGCAACTAACTGATGCCCAGAGTTGTAGTAACTAAATACAAATGCTCCTTTACTGTACTTAAGTACAATTTTTGGGTTTCTGTACTTTAGAGATTTTCAGCCTACTTTTTACTTCTACTTCTTTCATTTTCACACAATTATCTGTACTTTCTACTCCTTACATTTTTTAAAAAGTCAAGAAGTATAAAGTCGTTACTTTTATTTCATTTTTGATTGTTTTCATTCCAGCTTAATAAATACTATCCATATAAATTGTGCCTCCTAGATAGAGTGAATTTAACTGTGGTTGAATGAGAAGTATAAATATATAAAATTCTGATACTGTATTAGTTTGTACACAAACAAATCACGTCACACTCCAGCAGGACATAGCAGACCCATGGGCCAGAACTGGCCCTCCAAGCCATTTCAATTGGGCCACCAGCAGTTGTTACYACATTGTAATCTGTGGTCCTATGTAGAAACACAGTATTTCCACCTAAAGTCATTTGGCCCAATGATTATATAAGGGGCTGTAATGTAGTTAGTCAAAAACATGGGCCACCACACTGGCTGCTAGCTTAATCATTATAAATAAAAGGCCTGTACGTAAGGCATATTTGTATTTCATGAATTATAATGTTGCATTTGGCTGCAGCCCTCAGACAGATTTTCATTTTGGTGAAAAGATTTGGGCAGCCCGTATATAAACTGAAACAGCTAGACTAGTGCATCCTAAATTTAACATTTAAATAAATTATTTTAATATGATATAGTCATAAATATCCATACAGAAAATCTAACTGCTCATTTTAAATCAATATTTTTACTTTTAATACTTAAGTACAAAAATTATCAGATACTTTAAGACTTTTACTCAAATAATATTCCTAAAGGAGACTTTAACTTTTACCAAAGTAATTTTTTGGTAAGATACGTGTACTTTTACTCAAGTATCACTTTGTGGTACTTCATACAACACAAATGGACAGCAGTGTTAAAGTTGATAGGATCACTTCTGTATGAACCACTGAAAATGCTTTTTAGCAAAGTCTGACTCGCTGTTAGTTTGACTCTTATGATAAGTTTCTCTAAGCTGAGCTTCTGTGTCTGCTGTACTAGTTGCAGCCTGCTGATAACGACTTCAATGAACTTTAAAAGAGCCAAACGATCTCTTTAAACGACATTTGTCACTTCAGATTGCAAAACGGTACTCCTGAACAGGAAGGAAGCAGTGTGACATGGAGCCCGTTTTGGACTCGTCAATTAATGAGGACTGGAATAACACTATCGCTAACTGTAAGTGACAACTCTCAGTTTACTGTCAGTTCTTGTTTAACAAGTAGCCAGCTTGGAAGTGGGTTACTATAATTGGTTATCACTCTTCATAAAGCATCCTGACTGCTGAGGTCTCATGATTTACTACATAAACAGACACAGAGTGCAAGGCAAGAGTCTGGTGTCAGGATGTTGATTATCAGCCTTTCTGATGACCTATGGATCCCCGCGTATCCAATCACCACTGTTTACAAAAGG